TGTGAACCATTGTGGCCAGCCGCACACGGTGGCCGGTAGAAGCGGAAAAACTTCGTTACTTTCTTTCGGTGGTCGGCAGTTAATATTTGACGTTTGCTGATTTATCGATTGCGGCGGTCATTCGGCACCGTGTCAAGTCATTTAGAGCAGTTTCGATTCCATCGGCTAGGGGCTAGTTCGATGTGACGGTAGCGTAGCTGGTGACCTGTCATTCTTTGTACGGCCGACGTACCGAGACGGACCAAGCGACGGCCGGGAATCGCTTCCAGCAGTCTGTTGTGCAATAATTAATATTCATAAAGAATTACGCGTTCTGTAAGTTGGTTCGAGCATCGAAACGAGAGACTGACTTGCCGTTTGGCTTAAGCCGATTTCGTAACGATCACGTCGTCATCCGTTTCTTGATCGATTCCCGCTTCTCCCTGCACGCACCGACCGAAGAGTGAACGGTAGTGATTGAGCATCAGGTGTTTGCCGCGTATTCGGCTACACTTGCCGACGGTGTGAACAAATAGTGATACGAGCCAAGTGACTAATTACTGTTTACACATACGACGGTCGGCTTACGGCTAACATTCGGTCGCGTGGGCGCACCAATGCTGCCGTCAACAGAGGTCGGTCGGGTGTCACTCACGAGGGGAGGCGCACACGACCGACTAGACGTCGACTGAGCCGATTCGACCTCACTGTAAGACGAGCACCTCAACCCGGAAATGAGACCATCCATCCATCCTTTCTTGCATTGTTTTTGACAGAACGGCTATGGAGCCATAAACGCTGACCAGGGCAATCACATTTCATTCGGTGGAGTGCCAGTCCCGGTCACGGTTGAAAAATCGCTCGCTGGTTCGAATCTCTGCGTGTCGATCATTTGCCTTTGAACCATCAGCAGTAATCAAATTTATCGTGTTTTAGGAGTACATAGAAGCATACTCTTACTATTGACCATCAGGACTGTATGCATATCAGCGAAATATCTAAACAAGCATATTCTGTACGCAAGTGAGGGAGTTAAGACAGCACCAGAAATGAGAAATGAGGAATGCGGTTCATCGAAGATGCGGGGAGGTAGTTTTGTTTCCAGCAACTGAATTCTCACCTCTGTGGTGAGAAACGATACCGAAGAGTAGCCGCAAATGCGAAGAAGGGAAGTTGAGTTTGTGCGTTGTGTTTGTTATGTAACTGTAAGTACTGAAATCATAAACACGGCTTCCTAGTCTATGGTATCCAAGTGGAGATTAGCACTGCTTTCTAAGTTTCGTAATAGGAGATGCCGCAATTGAGGCCCGCCATGAAACTGAAACGGTTACACAATATCTTTCACCTGTAGCAATCTCAGAAAGTGAATTCTTCCTTACTCTGACGTCATGTAGAGAACCTGCAATCCACGTAATGTCAATTCGTTAGTGGAGTTATCGCCGGAAACCTTAAAAATATCTCTGGGCTATTCATAAATAGATTTAACTTTCTTCTACATGAAATTATGGGATAGTATGCAGTGGGTATTTGGTTCAGTCTTGAAATTATTAGTGAATTTTCATCTTCGTTTGAACAAATATGAAATAGCCGGAAATTTTTAACTGCGGCCATGTTCCTGGCAATCCAAAGCATCGGAAAGATCGTCTTCCTTTTCTCTATTTGCGTAAAATAGTTGTAATTCGTGACACGTCTCATTGTTTCTGCGACATTTTACAATCTGGCGAATCGATGAATCTCTTTTCTTTTACGTCTGGGAATAAAACTTTCTTCATTCTTTAATAACAGAATGAGAATGCCAATTTAAATAATAATCCG